GTCAAGTGTGAAAGTGAGGGAGGACGAGGACGACGCAGTACCTGAGAGCGCAGTCTCACCAGTACCTGAGAGCGCAGACGCACTGGCACCTAGAGCAGCAGCCTCACAAGCACCTAGCGCAGCAGTACCAATGCCCGGGTCGGGCTGGAAACAACGGTAACCCTCATTCTCCTCACTATAATCCACAACATACATAGCAGTAAGGATAGCATCAAAATCAAGATCAAAAATCGCTACACCAGCCCTGAGAAGCTCATCCCAGCGAGGGATCTCACTAGCCCCAGGGAACTGCTGACGCCAGGCGTCCGTCAGGCGGCCAAAGCAGCGCTGGGTGGCGTGGGCACCCCCACACTGCTCACCCGCGCGGTCGCCGGAACGAAGAACGTAGGTGCAGGGACCAGTACCCCCACCCCTCTGACGCCCAGCGTACCACTCACGAAGCTGCTGAGGCGAAGGGATGTCCCGAGAGCGCTGCTGCTGCTGCCGCTGCGAGCGCTGGCCACCACCACCGCCGCTACGCTGCTGGGTACCACCCCGACCAGCTCCACCCCCTCCACCACCACTGCCTCCTCCGCCGCCGCCTCCACCGCCTCCACCTCCGCCGCCTCCACCCCCGCCGCTGCCTCCACCACCACCGGTGGCACCACCACTACTGTCCCCGCCGCTGCTGCCACCACCACCACCACCCCCGCCACTAGTCCCGCCGCCACCCCCACTCCCTCCGCCGCCACCGCCGCCACCGCCACCGCCCCCTCCAGCTCCACCCGCGCCCTTGCCCCCCTTGCCCTTGCTGGAGCGACGTCTCCCACTAGGGGCAGACGCCGCGCCGACCGACTCAAGACCAAGCAGGTCGGAAGCAGCAGCAGAGGCAACAGAGGGCAGCAAGGGGGAAGGAGAGCACCCCTCAAAGATGGGGGTGCGAGGGTCACCACGAGAAGCACCTACAGCGACTATGCTCTTCTCCGCTGCGAGGAGGGCCTTCTCGAGGAGGTCGACGGTGAGCGTGGTGGGGCAGACTGCGAGAAAGTGGTCCCTGACGACTCGAAGGGAGTCAGGGAGGCGCGCGACTACGTAGTAGAGAGCGATGTACATGGGGGGGGGGTTCTTAGCGCAGAACTCAGCAGGAAGGGCGGCGCGGTAGCGAGTGTCACTAGTGCGGAGATGCGTAATGAGGTCAGCGACAGTGGGAAAGGCAGAGAGGTCAGGAAAGAGGTAGGGAAGCATGAGACGGCTCAGTGCAGCAGTGGCAGGGGAGGAGTAGCGCGCAACTACAGCGTCGTACAAGGTCTGAGCACTCTTGTACTGACTGAAGTGCGCACGCTCAGAGGTAGGAAGGTGGCGACGCACAGCAAGACGTGCAGCAGCATCGCGGGTGGCCCACTTAGAGCGGACAGCGGGATCAGCATCAGTAGCAGGAGCAGGAGAGGCGCCAGAGGTGAGGTCAAAGAGAGAAAGGTCGTCAGCTCTGTCGCACTGTAAGAACAGCTGCAGGTCGTCTAGCCAGACCTCAAAATCAATGGCGCGACCCTCAGCGTCAAAAGCTAGGACACTAGGGGTAGCCATGACGACGATTGTGAAGCAGTGCAAGCAGTAGGGGGGAGAGCACGCAGTGACAGTGGGACTGTGCTCACCAGGCAGGGCAGGTCGCGTAGCTCGACAGAAAGGCAGCTCGGCGACCGGGCGGCTCGGGTGCACAGCGGCTCGGCTCCCGGGCGGCTCGGCGGCAGGGCAGCTCGGGGGCAGGGCGGCTCGGCTACCGGGCGGCTCGGCGACAGGGCGGCTCGGGTGCAGGGCGGCTCGGCTCCCGGGCGGCTCGGCTGCCGGGCGGCTCGGCGGCACAGCTGCTCAGAGGTCCGCCCGCACAGTCTCTACAGGTGGACGGCGGGGCCGATGCGTAGTGGGCGGCGAAGCCGCGGTTGAGCAGGCGGCGGCCGCAGCCTAGTGGGCTGGGAGGCCGCGGTCGTAGCAGGCGGCGGGGCCGTGCGAGCAGGCGGCTGGGGCCGCGGTAGTAGGTGGGCGGCGGGGCCGCGCGAGAAGACGGCCGGGGCAGCTACTGTAGTAGGCGGCGGGGCCGCGGTCGAACAGGCGGCTGGCGCCGCGGTCGTAGCAGGCGGCGGGGCCGTGCAAGCAGGCGGCCGGGGCCGCGGTAGTAGAGGGCGGCGAGGCCGCGCTAGCAGGCGGCCGAGGCCGCGACAGTAGCGGGCAGCGGGGCCGCGGTCGAACAGGCGGCTGGGGGGCCGCGGTCGAGCAGGCGGCCGGGGCCGCGGTAGTAGCGGGCGGCGAGGCCGTGCGAGCAGGCAGCCGGGGCCGCGACAGGAGCGGGCGGCGGGGCCGCGGTCGAACAGGCGGCTGGGGGCCGCGGTCGTAGCAGGCGGCCGGGGCCGCGATCGTAGTGGGCGGCGGCCGCGGCGTAGCGGGCGGCAGGGCCGCGTCGAGCAGGCGGCTGGGGGGCCGCGTCGAGCAGGCGGCTGGGGGGCCGCGTCGAGCAGGCGGCTGGGGCCGCGATCGTAGCGGGCGGCTGGGGCCGCGACTTAGCGGGCGGCTGGGCCGCGTGTGGGAGGGAGGCGACACGGAGGGTCGCTCGAGAGCGGAAAAAAAAAAGGTTGAGCGCGCCTCGGGGCGCGCTTCGGTGGGCCCTAGGCAGAGTTCCACAGGGAACCCGCTCTATACCATGTGAAGTGAGTAAGCAGGAATGGAATGACTAAGGAAAGATTGGGTACAAATACAACCCTAGAAACCCTGTACCCCATATGTGCTACCCCACTATAGCCTACAGCAACTATGTCATATAAATCTGACATTCTCTACGCTCCATAGTATTTTGCCCAACTTCTCAGGTACCTGAATAATTTCTAAAGGCTTTTTCTTGGCCTCTAGACCTCCCCTGAATTTTTTGAAGGCTTGTAAACCACGAGAAGCAATATTCTTCGTTAGAGCATCTTTATAGGATACTTTTAACGAATTCTTACTTTCGTGGGTGTTCGGCTGGAGTTTCCCGGTCGGTGCAGAGTCTTTTTTCGCGGAGCCTCCATTCGCCTCGGCGATTTCCCCTGATGCCGGCCGGTCGTGGCGTTTTAAATTCGCGCCATCATTTTCTCCTTTTTTCACCCGCTCCGAAGTCGCCACGTCGTCGCCTTTTCCTGCTTTTCGGATCTTTACGCGATCGCCTGGTCGATCCGCGGCTACTGGCGATTCCCGTTTTTTTACTTCGGGGGTGCTCTAGTGTTTCCGTCTCGGAGTGCCGCACGTGCTTTCTTCATTTTGTAGCACGACAAAAACTGATGTCCTGCTGCGCCGCAAAATTCGCATTTTGTCGGCTGCTGCTTCGCGTCGTATTTGTCGATATCCATCGGTTCGGTGAACGTGGGGGGTGCCGATCGCTCCGTGCCGAATGTACGGTTCGGCGTCAAGCGTCGTGTTTCGGGTTGACTTCGAGTCAGCGCGTCGTATCGCTCGGCAGCACGCACGATGTCTCTGTAGCTGTTGTAATTCGCCGCAATCACCTGCCGCCGAATCTCCATTTTTAATCCTTCGGTGTACGCCTGGATTTTTTCGCCTTCGGTCAGGTCGGTGATGCGGTTGAACAGTAACTCCATCTGCTGCGTGTACTGTGTTACACTACTGTATTGCTTGTGTCGGTGTATCTCCTGCCGCGCCATGTAGGTTGTATTAATTGGTTCGAAACGCTCGATTAAATCTGCCCGAAACTGCTGCCACGTTTTCTCCCCGCGGGCTACGTCGGTGTAGTAAATCCATTCGAGAGCCGGTCCACGTAACAGTGTCGCTGCGAGCCGAATCCTTGCTGCGTCGTGTTGCGGGGTCGAACAGCCGATGGCCTCGAAGTAAATTTCGAGGGTGGCCACGAATCGCCGGACGTCGGATCCCTTCGCGCTTGGATCGAACGCCTCCGGGAGCCTCGGTCGTGCTGCTTCAAGGTTCGGCGACAGTGGTGCCATTGGTCCGTGAAATGTCGGTGTCGCCACTGCTGCTAGAGTTGTCGGTGCTGTAGTCGCTGTGGTCGCTGCTGCTGCGGTGGCGAACCCTGGTTGGCTTGTCAGAAAAGCCTCGAGTCGACGAAGTGTCGCCTGCGTCTGCTCCATGTCGGTGCGGAGGCTCGCGATGTCGCTCGTAGTCGCGTAGTTGTCGCCTTGGCCCTCCATTTGGTGATTTACAGGAAGATGCGCGACGAAAATAATCGAATTCTAGGTGCTGGTCGACTTACTGCGAGTCAAGTTGACTGTAGAATCGACGAGCGCGAATTTTGTAGGTTGCGTAAATTTCCCTTAGGCCAAATTCACGTCCGATCTTGGCCGTTGAGGAGAAAATCGATCCGACGCTCCAAATTCCAACTTTTTTGGGCGAAATTCTCTGGGCCGTTGAGATGAAACTCGATCGAACGGTCGAAACTCCAACCTTTCCACCAGTAAATCTGAGGGGGGTTCGAAAACCGAATCGAGGGGGACTTAGAAAAATTGCGCGGAACTGGTTTTACATACCCGTATCGGCGCTTTCGTCGTCGCCCCCGTGGTTTTTAAAGGCCGGAACTAAGCGGTTGAAGACCTCGCGTGTAAACCCGCTCTGATTACCAAGTGTGAGGATCTAGGATCGAGTTCAGAAAAGATGATTCAAATTGAATTGAATTGAATCGAATGTCCACCAGGGTACAACACGAGGCTATATATAGGCTCGACACAAGGCCCCGTAACCAGGTGTTACGCGAAGGTTCCGCGGGTCGCGAAGCGTCCCGAACAGATCCTTACCAAATTCGGTAGAAGGCAATTCGGTGGCAACCGAAAAGCCCGAATTCGGTGCACGCAACCTAGCTCGGTGCTATAACTATAATAAAATATAGGAAAGCACCTAGCCTAGGAAATCAAGCAATTCATGCATGCATATGATTATCCTATGCTAGAAATAGCATGATAAAGTAGAGGCAAGCAAGCATAGCTGGCATAAGCCGTCGTACTCTCACAGCCACCGCCTCCTCCACCGCCGCCACCTCAGCCACCTCCGCTCCCACCGCCACCACCGCCGCCGCCTCCGCCTCCACTGCCGCCATTGACACCTCCACCCCCGCCACCACCCCCACCGCCACTCCCACCCCCTCCGCCGCCTCCACCTCCGCCTCCACCGCCCCCGCTAGCTCCTCCAGCGCCCCTGCCCCCCTTGCCCTTGCCAGGGCGGCGTCTCCCGCTAGGGGTAGACCCCGCACCGACTGACTCAAGACCAACGAGGTCGGCCGCAGCAGCAGAGGCAACAGAGGGCAAAAGGGGGGAGGGGGAGCACCCCTCAAAGATGGGGGTGCGAGGGTCACCACGAGAGGCTCCTACAGCTACTATGCTCTTCTCTGCTGCTAGGAGGGCCTTCTCGAGGCAAACTGAGAGGAAGTGGTCCCTGACTACGCGAAGGGAGTCAGGGAGCCGGGTGACTATGTAGTAGAGGGTGATGTACATGGGGGGGGAGGTTCTTGGCGCAGAACTCAGCAGGAAGCGCAGCGCGGTAGCGAGTGTCACTAGTGCGGAGGTGCGTAATGAGGTCAGCGACTGTGGGAAAGGCAGCAAGGTCAGGGAAGAGGTACGGTAGCATGAGGCGGCTCAGTGCAGCAGTGGCAAGGGAGGAGTAGCGTGCAACTACAGCGTCGTACAAGGTCCGAGCACTCTTGTACTCACTAACGTGCGCACGCTCCGAGGTAGGTAGGTGGCGATGCACAACAAGACGTGCAGCAGCATCGCGTGTGGCGCACTGTGAGCGAACAGTGGCGTCAGCATCAGTAGGAGGGGCAGGAGAGGCACCAGAAGTGAGATCAAAGAGGGAGAGACCGTCTGCCCTATCGCACTGTAGGAAAAGCTACTGGTCAGCTACCCAGACGTCAAAGTCAATGGCCCGACCCTCAGCGTCAAAAGCGAGGACACTAGGGGTAGCCATGACAGCAGTAGACTAGCAGCACGAACAGTAGGGTAAGGGCAGTGCAGTGACAGAGGCGCTGCTCTTACCGGACAGGGCGGCTCGGGCGGCTCGGCGGTTCGGCGGCTCGGCGGCTCGGCGGCTCGGGCGGCTCGGCGGCTCGGCAGCAACTGCGGCTCGGCGACTCGGCGGCGCTGGCGGCTCGGCGACTCGGTGGTACAGCGGCTCGGCAGCTCAGCGACCCGGCGGCTCGGGCGGCTCAGGTGGCGCGGCGGCTCGGGCGGCTCAGGTGGCTTGGGCGGCTCGGCAAATGGTCGGCGGCGCCGGTGGCTCGGTGGTGACGCCGGGGCCGCGTGGGGACGGCGGCGGGGCCGGTAGAGGAAGCGACGGGGCCGGGAAGGGTAGCGCCGGGGCCGCAAGGTAGGCGACGGGGCCAGCAGAGGCGGCGCCGGGGCCGGGAAGGGCGGCGCCGGGGCCGGGAAGGGCGGTGCCGGGGCCGCAGGGGTAGGCGACGGGGCCAGCAGAGGCGGCGCCGGGGCTGGGAAGGGCGGCGCCGGGGCCGGGAAGGGCGGTGCCTGGGCCGGGAAGGGCGGTGCCGGGGCCACAGGGGTAGGCGACGGGGCCGCAGGATAGGCGCCGGGACTGCAGGGTAGGCGCCAGGGCCAGCAGAGTAGGCGACGGGGCCGCAGGGTAGGCGACGGGGCCGCGAGGGTAGGCGCCGGGGCCGCAAGGGTAGGCGACGGGGCCGCGAGGGCGGATTGGAGGGGTCGCTAGGGCGGCTCGAAGAGGCCGCGAGGGCGGCGCGAAAGGGCCGCAAGGGCGGCGTGACGCGACGGGGCCGCGAGGGCGGCAGAACGGGGCCGCGTGGCTAAGAAAAAGCCTTTAGACATTATTCAGGTACCTGAGAAGTTGGGCAAACCACTCCGGAGCGTTGAAAAGGGTCGTGCGTTCCGAGGAGTTAATATTCTCTCCCCGCAACACAGTTTTAAGGCTCCCCATTGCCCACAGGTGAAGCCTACACAATTTCAAAGGCATAGGGGAAGGTTCTGTTGTGTGATGCAACCATATGCATTCACGTCTGTCTGCCTCCCATCATGTGTTTGTGCGTTGCATGCGTGGTGTGAGCGTGTGCAAGAAATTTGTGTCTTGTGTGGTTTGGATTTCCTCTGTGTGTGTGTGTGTGTGTGTGTGTGTGTGTGTGTGTGTGTGTGTGTGTGTGTGTGTGTGTGTGTGTGTGTGTGTGTGTGTGTGTGTGTGTGTGTGTGTGTGTGTGTGTGTGTGTGTGTGTGTGTGTGTGTGTGTGTGTGTGTGTGTGTGTGTGTGTGTGTGTGTGTGTGTGTGTGTGTGTGTGTGTGTGTGTGTGTGTGTGTGTGTGTGTGTGTGTGTGTGTGTGTGTGTGTGTGTGTGTGTGTGTGTGTGTGTGTGTGTGTGTGTGTGTGTGTGTGTGTGTGTGTGTGTGTGTGTGTGTGTGTGTGTGTGTGTGTGTGTGTGTGTGTGTGTGTGTGTGTGTGTGTGTGTGTGTGTGTGTGTGTGTGTGTGTGTGTGTGTGTGTGTGTGTGTGTGTGTGTGTGTGTGTGTGTGTGTGTGTGTGTGTGTGTGTGTGTGTGTGTGTGTGTGTGTGTGTGTGTGTGTGTGTGTGTGTGTGTGTGTGTGTGTGTGTGTGTGTGTGTGTGTGTGTGTGTGTGTGTGTGTGTGTGTGTGTGTGTGTGTGTGTGTGTGTGTGTGTGTGTGTGTGTGTGTGTGTGTGTGTGTGTGTGTGTGTGTGTGTGTGTGTGTGTGTGTGTGTGTGTGTGTGTGTGTGTGTGTGTGTGTGTGTGTGTGTGTGTGTGTGTGTGTGTGTGTGTGTGTGTGTGTGTGTGTGTGTGTGTGTGTGTGTGTGTGTGTGTGTGTGTGTGTGTGTGTGTGTGTGTGTGTGTGTGTGTGTGTGTGTGTGTGTGTGTGTGTGTGTGTGTGTGTGTGTGTGTGTGTGTGTGTGTGTGTGTGTGTGTGTGTGTGTGTGTGTGTGTGTGTGTGTGTGTGTGTGTGTGTGTGTGTGTGTGTGTGTGTGTGTGTGTGTGTGTGTGTGTGTGTGTGTGTGTGTGTGTGTGTGTGTGTGTGTGTGTGTGTGTGTGTGTGTGTGTGTGTGTGTGTGTGTGTGTGTGTGTGTGTGTGTGTGTGTGTGTGTGTGTGTGTGTGTGTGTGTGTGTGTGTGTGTGTGTGTGTGTGTGTGTGTGTGTGTGTGTGTGTGTGTGTGTGTGTGTGTGTGTGTGTGTGTGTGTGTGTGTGTGTGTGTGTGTGTGTGTGTGTGTGTGTGTGTGTGTGTGTGTGTGTGTGTGTGTGTGTGTGTGTGTGTGTGTGTGTGTGTGTGTGTGTGTGTGTGTGTGTGTGTGTGTGTGTGTGTGTGTGTGTGTGTGTGTGTGTGTGTGTGTGTGTGTGTGTGTGTGTGTGTGTGTGTGTGTGTGTGTGTGTGTGTGTGTGTGTGTGTGTGTGTGTGTGTGTGTGTGTGTGTGTGTGTGTGTGTGTGTGTGTGTGTGTGTGTGTGTGTGTGTGTGTGTGTGTGTGTGTGTGTGTGTGTGTGTGTGTGTGTGTGTGTGTGTGTGTGTGTGTGTGTGTGTGTGTGTGTTATTTGGCTTGAGCAGATATCTGAAGTGATTCCTCTACTCAAGAGCTTTCCGACGAACCAAGAATCGTCGCGATCGGAGCACAACCAAGAAAGTTACGAACATTGGAGTTCGTATGCTTATATATTTTGGTTGCAGCTACTTTGGGAAGTTGTGGCATTGACTCAATATGGGGTACAGACTTGTGGGGGTTGGGAAATTCGAACCCATCACTGTAGATGCTGCCAAGAGGTTGGGTGAAACCAAACCAGGTTGGTAAGTGTGGCTAAGTTGTGGTGAGGTGGATGGCATGGGTTGGAAAGTGACAAAGGTCAAAGTTTGTTGCCTATGGGGAAGGGAATTGTGTGGCAAGGGAAGGGACTCTCTCTTGGGACCTTCCCTCTCGTCCTCCTCTTCCCCTCCTACCAGGTTTAGTGCTACTCTAATGATCTTTTGTGGGACTTGTGAGTAAATTGTGATTGAGTTAAATTTCTGTGGCAGCATACCCCCTAGTGCGCCGAAACGCATAACTCGAGATATGCTTCATATTTTGATACGATTCAAATTGGGAAATGTAGCCACGGTCTAGCGCTACAACATAGTCGAATTTCGTGGGATTCTAACGGTGCACCTTTCGTCGACAACGTTTCTTGTGAAGTCGACGTTTCTGTCCAGAAATTGAGACCAACGATTTTGAGAAATTTGGGCACCTAATCTTCATAGACTCCGTCCTTAGTCTCTAACAGGTTCCAGGTCAAGACGAAGCTGAATCGGCCTTGGATAAATCCTTCTAACCCTCCTCAGTCAAAAATTGATATCGAGTCAGCAGCTTCGAGCGCAGGACCTAGGGGAGATATATTCGACGTACCCTATGATCCTATAAGCGAGACCATCTACGGTTATTTGGAGCAGCAACAACCACTACTACTCGAGGTGATCTGCAACGGGCGACGCCTCCAGGCACTGGTGGACAACGGTGCGTCTCACTCGGTGTACGACCGCGGGACATTGGAGAAAATTGGAGAGTCTTCAGAAGAGACCAAGTTCACGGCAATGATGGTGGACAGTACGAAACTTCCCATCCATGGCGAAGCATCACTGCAGCTGCACATAGGGGCGATGAGGTGGAAGCCGACGTTGCCGATCAAGAACATCAAGGGTTTAGACTTCATCATGGGGCGAGATTTCTTGAAGCGATTCAACCCCGATTTTGATTGGGTCGGCAGGAAGGCATGCATCTACAAAAACGGGAAACGAGTGGAGCTACGAAGCTGGACGGATACAGGGAGCGTTCCTAAAACGACACTGGCATGGTTTGAACAGACGGTAAATGAGAGTATCACATGTTACCTAGCGCTGGTTATGGCAGCAGAAGAGGAGGAGAAGCCGAACACAGAGCTACCTGCAGCAGTGAAGGAGGTCTTGGAGCACTACAAGGACATAATGCCCGACGACCTACCTGCAGGCGTACCTCCAACACGCACCCACGAGCACGAGATCGTGGAGGAACCAGGTGCGAAACCCGTCTCACGAGCACCATACCGACTGAGTCCAACCGAGCTGACAGACATGAAGAAGCAGATAGAGTATTTACTGGACAGACAACTGATCCGCCCATCCACGTCTCCCTACGGTGCACCAGTTCTCTTCACTCCAAAACCAGACGGCAGTTTACGGATGTGCATCGACTATTGCACACTGAACAAACATATAGTCAAAAACAAATATCCCATACGGCACATAGACGACCTACTGGATCAACTACGTGGTGCAACAGTATTTTCAAAGCTGGACGGTCGGGTTACTGGCAGATCAAGATGGCAGACAACTCGGTCCACAAGACTCCGTTCCGTACTAGATACGGCTCCTACGAATACTTGGTGATGCCGTTTGGGCTCTGCAACGCACCAGCAACGTTCCAGGCGGAGATGAATCACATCCTACGGCCCATGTTGGACAATGCGTGGTGATGTACCTGGACAACATTCTCATTTACTCCAAGAACATGAAAGAGCACGTGGAGCATCTGCGGAAGGTGTTCGAGATCCTGCGGAAAAACAAGTTCTACTTGCAGCTGTCGAAGAGCGACTTCGCCCTGAAGAAGGTGCATTTTCTCGGGCACATGGTGAGTGTCAAGGGAGTACACGTGGACCCGCGGAAGATTGAAGCCGTCAAGAAGTGGAAAGTACTGGAGAACGTGAAGGAGTTGCAGCAGTTCCTAGGCTTTGCCAATTACTACAACAGGTTCGTGCCGTAGTACGCCAAGATATAGCGCCACTGACCGATCTACTGAAAAACAATACACCCTACAAATGGGATACATCAACAAGCCATGGAGCAGTTACAAACAGCACTGACTACCGCACCAGTACTCATCCTACCGGACCCATACAAGGACTACGTGGTGGAAGCAGACGCTAGTGACCAAGCAGCCGGATCAGTACTGAAGCAAGATCACGGGAACGATTTGCAGCCCATCGCCTACCTTAGTAAGAAGCTACACGGAGCAGAACTGAATTACCCCATCCATGACAAGGAAGCCTTAGCGATAGTCATAGCCTTCAAGGCGTGGAGATGTTACCTAGAGGGAGCCAAGATTACAGTCTATACTGACCACTGCAATCTCAAATACCTGAAGTCTGAGCCAACGCTTTCACGACGACAGGTGCGGTGGGTGGACTTCTTGGAGACCCACTTCCACTACGACATCGTCTACAAACCCGGGCTACACAACAAAGCAGACGCGTTGAGCCGCCCCGGTCATGTAGCAGGCATCCAGCTCGACGGGATGAACGCTTTGCTGAAGGGTCTATAACAACATGGTTATTCCGTGGACGCAGAAATCACTACAGCACAGACTAAGAAGATGTTACAGTGGGAGAAAGACTTGGCGGTAAGGAAGGGTTCAGCCTCTACCCGTACCGTAGCAGCCATGGCAGGTCGTTAGTCTCGATTTCATCACAGGACTTCCTTCGACCTCACGGGGGCACGATTCCATCCTCTTATTGATCGATAAGTCCTCCAAAATGGGTCACTTCATTCCGATCAACGCCACAACTGTAGCTGAAGCAACTGCTCGACTCTTCTTCGACCGCATCATCACTTTCCACGGCATCCCCGCTACACTCATCTCAAACAGAGACCCCAAATTCATGAGAAAGGTCTAGAAGGAGCTCATTGGACTGTTGGGGACAAGTCTTCCAATGTCTTCAGCATACCACCCCCAGACTAACGGACAGACAGAGCGACTCAACTAAGTGGTTGAACAGTTATTACGCACAGCTTGCAAAGACGACGTTAGCCACTGGGACACACAGTTACCAACCCTAGAGTTCGCTTACAACAACGCGTCACATGCGGCCACTGGGAAAACCCCTTTCTTCCTGTGTTGTGGACGGGAACCATTTACACCACAGCAACCCACCACACCGGCACTTGTCCAAGCCGCACATGACTTCGTCACCACCATGCAGCAGCTATGGGAGAAGACTCAGCGACGTCTCACCACGATGCAGAACTCCCAGAAGCAGTATACCGATCGCCAGCGACGTGATAACTCAGTAGCAGTCGGAGATCAGGTGCTTCTTGACATGCGCAACTTGAACCTGTCTCACCTACCATCCAAACTCCAGCCTCGCTTCTGTGGTCCTTTTCTCGTTGAGGCACAGGTGACACCAGTTACCTTCCGCTTGCACTTACCTACTACGTGGAAGCTTCACAATGCTTTCCATGTTTAGCTACTAATGCCCTACCAGAACCCCAACTAACAGTTCCAGGGACCGCAGCTACCGCCACCACCACCTGTTCTCATACAGGATGAACCAGAATATGAAGTGGAGCGCGTTCTCACTCATCGGCGCCGCGATGGCAAGACCCTCGAGTTCCTGATACGCTGGAAGAGATGCGACCCCAGTGAGGACAGTTGGGTTGCAGAAGCTGATATGGGCAACGCATGCCGTGCTCTCAAGGACTATCTTGTCAAGCAGGGTGTATCTCAGGCCACCCATCTTTGAGGGGGGAACGTGTGAGAGTACGACGGCTTATGCTAGCTTTGTTAGCTTGCGTAGACTTTTTTTATGCTATTACTAGCTTGGGTTTTATTTATCATGCATAGATATGCTTGATTTCCTAGGTTAGGTGCATTCCTTGATTTTATTATAGTTAAAGCACCGAACCAGGTTATGTGTACCAAACTCAAGCCTATTCGGTTTCCACCGCATTGCTTTCTACTGAGTTCGGGAAGGTTCTGTTCCGGACGCTTCATGACCCTCAGAAAATTCGCGCAACACCTGGGTAACTGGCCTTGTGTCGAGACTATATATAGCCTCGTATTGTACCCAGGTGAATCATCCAATTTCAACTCTCGTTTCTGAGCTCGATCCTAGATCCTCACAACCAGGGACAGTCGCTTGCACCATTACACTCTCATAGTCACACATGGTGCATTAGATCCTTCAGCGGTTGGGGCTTCAGTTTTCCACCACACATCCCACTCGTCTTGCTGTCGACCACCGACTCACCGGCCCTTTTCACGACGAGCCATTTGTGTCTAGTAGTTCCTACTTAGAGCTTGTGGGTTGCCTCATGTACTGGATGACTTGTACTCATCCGGACCTTGCCTATCCCCCCATGGTTCTCTATCGCTTTGTTGCAAGTGGGAGACAGCGTCCCGTGCACTGATGGCTGCTTTGAGGGTGGCGAAGTACCTGGCGACTACATCAGGCGTGGGGTTTGTGCTTGGAGGGACACAGCCAGTTGTATTGACTAGTCACTACGACTCTTCGTACGCTGACGACATGGAGACCCAACAGTCTACTCAGGGGTACTTCTTCGGTTTGGGTGCTCGAGCTGTCTCATGGAGGTCTACTCGGACGTCGTCTGTGGCACAGTCCAGCGTAGATGCAGAGATCTACGCTGGTGCCATGGCTGTGCAGAAGCTTTCTTTATTGACTTTCTTGCTCACTGACCTTGGTGAGCGGTCTTGCTCTGCAGCGACCTTGTCGCTCATAACAAGGCCATGATCCTCTTTTGTCAAAAGCCTTGACTCGAGGGCAGGGTGAATCACATCGACGTAGATACTTTTCCCTACGAGAGTTGCAGCGACTCGGCCAGGCTCGTTTGGACTTCGTGGCCTCAGCGGCCAATACAGCAGACATTTTCATCAAGGCCCTAGTGCCTTGTTGACACTGGTGCTACCGTAGTTTGCTGCAGCATTGTTTCTTGTTGCTTGCTCTGCTTGTCCTTGCATCTATATATATTTGTAGACTCTTGAGCTGGCCTTGTGGCTGCTTGTTTTTTTTCGAAGTATGTGGTGATCTTGAGATCCGCCATGAGCGTTGCCTTGTTTGTTGCTTCTCTTGGCTGGTCTTGTGACCCTATGTTTCTTTTGTTTGTTTTGATGCCCCTCACTTCGCCTATGAGGGTGTGTCAAATGTTATACATAATGTTGATAAGCTATAGTGAGTAGGGCTGCAGGGAGTACAGCGTTTTCTAGGTTTAGCATTTGTATCTCCCATCCTACTAGTCATGATCATTCCGCTATGCATCACTCATGAGTGTTTCTACATAATATGGTTACTTGGCGGTGTTGGAAAATCAGGCTAGATCCAAGCCGACTATATATTTATTGGTATGTATGTATTGTTCACAGCGCCAGTCACACAAAGCTGGCAAGTCCAACTGCTGACCTAAGTATCCCGAAAAGCACCAGCTTCACTGATTTTAGCACCAGCGCCGTCAGCAGCATCAATACCAGCAGCAGCAGACGCAGCGAGCTGCTTCTCCAGATAAGCCTCCACCAGCTGCGACCCACACGCACGCTGCACCACAGGCATGGTGGCGGGCGAGTTCAGCCGCACAAACTCTCCCCAGACCCCGCCAGTTGCACTGCCTGCTTGTGTGGTTGGGTGGGCCAACTGGTGGCGAGCAGCGGCAATGGCGTGGCGGATGGCGGAGTGGATGGAGACAGCGAGCAGCAGCGGGGGCTCGCCAGATGCTGATGAGGGCAGAAGGGGGGAAGAGTGGGGGAACATGGCAGATGGGAGAAGGGAGTTAGATGAGGGCCATGATGTGGTGGGTGAGTGATGGGTGGAGACCTGTGCCCCCTCCTGTGTGTTGCTTGCGGTGTTGTGGTACCCAGGTGTGTGTTGTTGCCCTCACAGGTACAATGCTAGGGATGACTACTTGATGCACCCTGAAGGGACCTCATGCTATGCAGTAACGTGGAGGCAGAGAGGAGCAAACAAGGGAGAAGCAGAAGCGTGAGGGCGAAGAGCAAAGGGAGTGGGTGAGAGGAGTGAGAGAGGAGGGAGGAGGTGAGGGTCACATTTGGAAGAGAGCACGCCTTGCTTGTTGGCTGTCCCATGCAGGAGGGAGACGTTGAGCTGACGGGGCACAGTGTCGAATGATGGCACCTTGTATGCCCACGTGCCGTCTGACAGCAGCTTCCCGGTAGCTTCCTCCAGCAGTACCTCTTCCGTGGTGAAGAAGCCCTGCCCCTGCACGAACGCCCCCTCCACCTGGCGGGTGTGGGCAAGAGGGACAGAGGGCGAGCGAGAGCGCGAGGGAGACAATGGAACAAACTTCACCTCCTCCAAAATGAAGTAGCCCTGCCCCTGCACGAGCGCCCCCTCCACTTCACGCATGCGAGAGGGAGGGGGGGGGAGAGGGAGAGGAACAGGGAGAGGGAGAGGGAGAGGGCGAGGGAGAGGGAGAGGGAGAGGGAGAGGGAGAGGGAGAGGGGGAGGGAGAGGTGGAGGGGGAGGGGGAGGGGGAGGGGGAGGGGGAGGGGGAGGGGGAGGGGGAGGGGGAGGGGGAGGGGAGGGGGAGGGGGAGGGGGAGGGGGAGGGGGAGGGGAGGGGGAGGAGGAGGGGGAGGGAGAGGGAGAGGGAGAGGGAGAGGGAGGGGGAGAGGGAGAGGGAGAGGGAGAGGGAGAGGGAGAGGGGGAGAGGGAGAGGGAGAGGGAGAGGGAGAGGGAGAGGGAGAGGGGGAGAGGGAGAGGGAGAGGGTGAGGGAGAGGGAGAGGGAGAGGGAGAGGGAGATGAGGGAGGGGTAAAACATGGTCGGTGGGCGCGCACACACGCAAACACGTTTCGAAACACGCTAAGCGGTTACAAAATAAGAAACACGATTTCTGGGGAACGTCCAGGAAGTGAAAGGATGGAGAGGTACTTGTGGATGCATGCATGTGGCGTGGCGTGCACACGCGCCTACCTGGCCAATGTCGACAGCCGGGTTGAGGCTGCGCGCACAGTCATAGTGTATGTCAGCACGCAGCACTGCCACTGCCCCTGTCAGCACGTCCACCTCCACCTGCCACACCATTGCACGTTATGTTAGAAATATATTGTTGCATGCTAACACAATTGTAACTGCTCCTGCCCCACTCTCTGGTGACAGCGCAAGCACCATCCATCTCACTTAGGGCCCTGTCTACCATGCCCACTTCAAGCATATCGAACTGCGCTACTTTTTCATCCGCGTGCTCGTTCAACAGGGCCTTCTTGCCGTTCGGAAGATTGCGGCCGAGACCAATCTAGCCGACATCTTCACCAAGGCTCTCCTTGTGTTAACATGCTAAAGGCTTGTGTGAGAATTACATTGTAGCATGCTAAGTTTTATGTGTGCCTTGCGATCAAATGTGGTGTATAGTTGGGTTGAGACTACACCCAACATTGGGTGTAGCCTTGCAAGTTGAGGTGCCAATCCAACCCAATTGTGGTGAAGCCCCTAATTGCAACCCACTGGACCATTGGTTCCCTCACTCCCCAAAGTGAGGACAACCCAACCCAATGGGTCATAGGTTGCCCCACTTCTCCAAACATGGTCAACCCAACCCAATGGGCCATTGGTTGTCTCACTTCCCAAAGTGGAGTTAACCCAACGTATTGACCCACATGTTACCCCACTTTCCCAAGTGAGGACAACCCAACCCAATGGACCATAGGTTGGCCCACTCCCCCAAGTTCCACCTGTCTCCCTTTCCCTCCTAACCTTCTCTTCCCAACTATGTATGCTTGTTTCACTTTCTAGTAAAATCATTCATTCCAATTATTTTAACACGTGCAGGGTGAGGTAGACGAACGGAAATGCAAAGATGAGCGTAAGATTGGCATAGACTGCGCAGAACGGAAGCATGGCAGAGGCGGAACAATGTGCATGCATGCATTGGTTCTTCACTCACCAGCAGCCACCCACACACAGGGTTGAGGAGTACCTCTGAGACGGCGGCACCAAAGGTGAAGTAGGAGGCGTGGGAGGGGTCTGGCTGAAAGTGCGCCTGCGCTGAGAGCGTGAGCTCCATGGCCTTGGCCTGCGCTGCCACCTCCTCCCACCTCGCCACGTCACCCTCCTCCACCGCCACGTCATCTTCTCCTATTCGTGACTCCCCTTTAATAAGTCCGCTATCCCGCTTCACCCGCTGGCATGCCTTGGCCTGCTCGGCTGCAGCCTTGGCGGTGAGCAGCGTGGGCAGCAGCTTTTGGCAGGCGAGCAGCACGGCGGCACAGGAGGCTTCAGAAGTGGAGCTGGCAGCCGTCATTCCCGCATTGCCCATCGACAGGCTGTCGTTCTCCACCACTCTGATTCGCCACACCTCCACCCCCCACGGTTCCGATACGTTGCTGCTGCTTCCGCTGCCACCACCACTGCTGCCACCGCTGCTGCAGTTGCCGCTGCCAGTCCCGCTCCCACTCCGGCTGTTACTGCTGATACCAGCATCTGCTGTGCCGGTAGCAGTGGTGCCCCAGAGGGCGTTGAGGCCGAGGGCAGCGGCCTGGCGCAGCTTGGTGGAGAGCCCCTGCCCCATCTCCACGCCGCCCGCCTCCACCACCACCTACCCGTCGCCAAACACCGTCACGCGTGCGGGCTTGGCGAGCAGCGCCACGTGGTAGAGTGCCGGCGCCATGGCCACGCCCCGCTTGCGCCACACGTGTGCCGCGTTGAATGCCTCTACCGCTGCTGCGCGCTCGGTGTAGCCCGCAAGGGCCTTCGCCTCCCTCCACACCCGCTGTGCTATCGCTCCCTCATCCTCCTCCCCCTCCTCTTTATCCTCCCCCTCTGCTGCAGCGGGTGTGGCAGCAGCAGCAGGAGCAGGAGAATTGGCAGCAGCAGGAGCAGCAGGATTTGCAGGAGCAGGAGCAGGCGGAGGAGGAGGAGGGGGGAAGGCAGAAGGGAAGAAGTCACGGAGGGCGTGGGTGGTGATAAGGTTGCGCTCACGCACGAGCAGGGGGGGCAGCCCCAGGGCAGCAGCCACGTGGTCCATCACGCTCTCCGCCACCACCACCGCCTGCACCTCGCCTGGCGCCCTCACTGGGCTGCGCGTCGGTAGGTCCGTCCTGAGGGGCAGCAGAGGCGGGGGAGTGCGGTCAGGGAGGGGGAGTGCGGTCAGGGAGGGGGAGTGCGGTCAGGGAGGGGGAGTGCGGTCAGGGAGGGGGAGTGCGGTCAGGGAGGGGGAGTGCGGTCAGGGAGGGGGAGTGCGATGAGGGAGGGGGGGTGAGGTGAGGGAGAGCACGGCACGAGAGGTGGCTGCCCGCTCCAAGACACTCTCCACAAACCGGCACGGCACGGCACGGCACGGCACGGCACGGCACGGCACGGCACGGCACGGCACGGCACGGCACGGCACGGCACGGCACGGCACAGCACGGCACCTCATGGCCTGGCCCGCACCTCGCCTGGCGCCCTCACCAGCATGTGGGCAGATCCATCGTGAGGGCGGCGGGGGCAGGTAGGGAGAGTGTGAAAGAACATGAAAGGTTCAATGCACTCATATGACGAAACGGACAAAACGTGGTGTAAGTTATGAGGGAGAGAGGAGAGGAGATGAAACGAGAGAGAAAGTGGGAGCTAGGGGAGGGGAGGCATGGGCATGGCAGCGAGGGAGATGACAGTGCAAGTGAGGAGGACGTATATTGAGAATGGAGTGAGCAATGAGTGGCCATGTCAGAGTAACACAGGACTCTGTGATCAATCCTCAGAGTAGCACAGGACTCTGTGATCAATCCTCAGAGTAACACAGGACTCTGTGACCAATCCTCAGAGTAACACAGGACTCTGTGATCAATCCTCAGAGTAACACAGGACTCTGTGATCAATCCTCAGAGTAACACAGGACTCTGTGATCAATCCTCAGAGTAACACAGGACTCTGTGATCAATCCTCAGAGTAACACAGGACTCTGTGATCAATCCTCAGAGTAACACAGGACTCTGTGAACAATCCTCAGAGTAACACAGGACTCTGTGATCAATCCTCAGAGTAACACAGGACTCTGTGATCAATCCTCAGAGTAACACAGGACTCCGTGATCAATCCTCAGAGTAACACAGGACTCTGTGATCAATCCTCAGAGTAACACAGGACTCCGTGATCAATCCTCAGAGTAACACAGGACTCTGTGATCAATCCTCAGAGTAACACAGGACTCTGTGAACAATCCTCAGAGTAACACAGGACTCTGTGATCAATCCTCAGAGTAACACAGGACTCTGTGATCAATCCTCAGAGTAACACAGGACTCTGTGATCAATCCACAGAGTAACACAGGACTCTGTGATCAATCCTCAGAGTAACACAGGACTCTGTGATCAATCCTCAGAGTAACACAGGACTCTGTGATCAATCCTCAGAGTAACACAGGACTCTGTGATCAATCCTCAGAGTAACACAGGACTCCGTGATCAATCCTCAGAGTAACACAGGACTCCGTAATCAATCCTCAGCTAACACACCCATTCCTCAACCTCCACCTTCACCAACAAACCTCAGCCTCCCACCCATCTCCTCCCAATCCCTCCCATCGCCACCCCTCCCTTCCCCTCTTCCACACAACCCACCATCCTCCCATCTCCACCACACTCCCTCCCCCACCACCGCACCTGACCACTTTGAAGTTGATCTCCAGTGCCCCCCACGCGTACTGCACCAGAGCCGGCCCGTAGTTAGCGGCCAGCCAGCAGCTCGTGCTGGCGCTGCTGCCGCCGTTCAGCACCGCCCGCACGCGCAGTGCGTGCACGCGCCCCGTGCCGTCACACCCCACGTCGTACCGTGCGCGCCCCTCGTGCCGCCCGCCTGTGAGCGCCGTGTCGGCCTTGCGGTCCAAGGCCATGCGCACAGGGCGCTGCAGTCGCTGCGCTGCCAGCGCACACGCCACTGCCACCTGGTGGTAAGGAAGGGGGAGGGGGCGGGGGGGGGGAGTTGGTGGGGGAGGATTGGTAGGGGAAGGGGGTGAGTGGTTAGCAAAGTGGAGTAGGAAGAGGAAAGAACGTGGGAACAGTGGGCACGGAGAGTGGGGCGAGTCGCATGTTTGTCTGTGTGTGTGCCTGTATCAAACATGGTGATAGCAGGAGAGATTTCTGCCAGATCCAGCATTTGCAAGTCGTGCCTTCATTCAGCAACAACCCCTCAGATCTCATCCAGCACCCCTCAGATCTCATCCAGCACCCCTCAGATCTCATCCAGCACCCCTCAGATCTCATCCAGCACCCCTCAGATCTCATCCAGCACCCATTCCAATCCCCTCTGAGTTCCCACTGAAACCCCCCTCAATCTTCATACGACCCCCCTACACCAACCCCTTTCCGTCACCTCACATCACAAGCCCACCCCCACACCCGTCCCCTCCCCATCCCCATCCCTTTTCCATCCCCACCCGCTCCCCATCCCCGTCCCAGCCCCACCCCGCTCCCCATCCCCGTCCCAGCCCCACCCCGCTCCCCATCACACTAACACGGCTGGCCTGAACCGTCTTGCCACCGAACGCGCCACCCAGCCGGCGGGTGACAACGCGCACGCAGGAGAGGGGCAGGCCCAGGGCGAGGGCCACGGCCTGCTGCGTGTGCTCGGGGCTCTGCGTGGCGCTGTGCACCGTCATGCTGCCCCCCTCGTCTGGTATTGCCAGCGCTGCCTGCGGCTCCAAGTAGAAATGCTGCTGTGAGCCCGACCGCACCTGGGGGCGCATGGGGGTGTGGGGGGGTGGGATGGGTGGGCCGAAGGGAAGTGGAGGGGGGAAGAAGGGAGGGGAGGGGAGGGGAGCGGAAGGTAGGGGAGGAAAGGGGAGGGGAGAGGAGGGAAGGGAAGTGCAAGGGAGGGGAGGGGAGAGCAGAGAGGGGAGGAATGGGTCCACACATGGAGCTCTCCCCATGCCGCTATCGCCCAGCTCTCACCATCACCCGCCTCTCTCTCAGCATGGTTGCTTGCTTCCGCATGAGGCGTGCCATCCTCACCTCTCCGCTGATCTTCAATGGGCTCTTGTCAAAAGCTTCCTGGAAATTTCCTCGACGAGGCAGGCAGTTGAGGAAGGCGGGGTGGAGAGGGAGGAAGGCCCCCTCTGCCTCCGCCTGCTCAATCGTCACAAGGGGACCCCGCCTGCCCCGGCCTGCACTGGATGCATCTGTTGATACACCTTCTTCTGCTGATCCTGCTGCTCTTGCTCTTGCTGATGCTTCTTCTGCTGCTGATGCTGCTCCTGCTGCTGCTGCTGGCTGCGATGCGGCAGGCAGAGGAAAGGGGTGGTAGGAGCAGTGCACCTTGCGTGCGCCCTCCTGTGCGTGGCGGTATGAGTCTGCCACCTGGCGGATGATTCATGATTCACGGTAGGGTTGGGTTGGGTGTCATTGGTGAAGAGGGAGGGTAGGAAAACGTGGAAAGGAAGTGGCAAGAAGAATGGTTGAGATGGTGAGTCGTTGAACTCGCAAAGGAGAAAAAGCGATGAGAGAGCAGGGAGCGGGGTTCAATGTTCATAGCGCCATGTAGACCCCCCTTTGTCCCAGCGCCCCTCCAATACCCCTTGTCCGTCACCTGTCACCCACCACCCACCACCCAGCAGGGCCTTATGGCGCCCAGCACTCACCACGAGGGCCACAGGTTGGCCATGAAACTCCGTGCTGTCGTGAGCAAACAGCGTGTCCGCCGCCCCCACAAGCAGCGAGGCCACGTTGGCCCCCCCGGGCGGCAGGTGCGAGGCGTCCAGCACCGCCACCACTCCCGGGGAGGCGAGTGCAGCGCTGTAGCAGCGCGCGGTGATGCGAGCACAGGGGTGCGTGGCCACTGCAAAGGCGGCGTAGAGACACGCGGCTGGCGCTGGCATGTCGTCCACGTACCTGGCGTGGCCTGATGGGGAGGGGAGGGAAAGGAGGGAGAGGAGGCAGAGAGAAAGGGGAGAGGGCGAATGGGAGAGAGGGGGGTGACAGAGTGTGTGCGTTGAGTGTGGCGTGAGGCTGGGGCGAGGAAGGGATGCGAATGGGCGGGAGCAGACAGGTGCGGATGGCGCTTGGGAAGAACGCAAGGAGGTGGAGGGAGATACAGGGCAGGCACAAGCGATGAAGAGAGGCACAGGGGCCATGCCATGTACCTGTGGCCTGCAGGTCGGCACCCAGCTTGGGCAGCGGCAGGGCGAGAGGAGCGACGTCCGTGGTGACGCACAACACCTGCCGGCCCCTCAACACCTGCCGGCCCCTCAACACCTGCCGGCCGCACAACACCTGCCGGCCCCTCATCACCTGCCGGCCCCTCATCACCTCGTGCTGCTGCCCGCTGCTGCCACGCGCCCCATCACTGCTCTCAGCCCCTGCAGCAGCGCCGTGAGCCTCCTCAGGGCAGCGCGTGTTGCTGGCACCCACTGCGCCATCCCCATTCCCTGTGCTCTTCCCTGGCAGGTCCGCCTGAGGCAAGGTGGCGTGGGGCAGGTCGGTCCGTGGCAGGGTGGTGGTGTGGGGCAGGTCGGTCCGTGGCAGGGTGGTGGTGTGGGGCAGGTCGGTCCGTGGCAGGGTGGTGGTGTGGGGCAGGTCGGTCCGTGGCAGGGTGGTGGTGTGGGGCAGGAGGCGCGAGAGGAAGGAGAAGAGGAACCCCACGGCCGCCTCCACGCGGTACTGCGCCCACCGCGTGCCCTCACCGGGCACCACCTCCTCCCGTACTGCCCTCACCGCCGCCAGCACGCTGCCAGGTGTCAGCACACCATTGGATGCCAGCAGACAGGCCTCGGCGCGGCGGGCTCTGATGGCGTGCGGACCGTTGAAGGCGCCAAAGACCAGGCGGGCGGACTGGATGATGGGGGCCGGGGGATGGGGAGAGGAGGTTACAGTGGAGGAGGCGGTGGAGGAGGCGGAGGATGGTGGAATGGAGGAGGGGGCGATGTGGAGGAGGAAGGCAGCGTTGACATAGGCATAGGCGTTGCCAGAGGGGCGGGCAGAGGCACGGAAGGAGTCAAACACGAGCTGAGGAGTGGTAGAGGAGGGCGAGGTGGGAGGGGGGGGAGAGGGCGTGGGGCAGGGCAGGAAGACAGAGTGCAGGAGAATGGTGGGAGGGAGTCTGGAGCGGTGAAGAAACGCCTCAAGTGGGAGATCCTCCCACACCCACCCATCGCTGCGTGCTGTGCTGCCTGTGAGAGATGCAGAGGCGGGGGGACCGGGAGAGGGAGTGGCGGTGCACACAGAAGCATGGAGCGCCAGCAGCAGAGTGGCAACATCGGAGGGGAAGGCACGGCGAGACGCAGCCAGCACAAGGTTGCCGCCGATGCTGGCAGCGTTGCGCACATGCGGCCCCGCCACCCTCCTCACATGGGCTGCTACTCGCGAGAAAACTGCCGCCGCCGCCGCCACTGCTGGTGGTGATGCTGTCCCGTTGGCGTCATCCCAGCCGTGCATGACAGGGCCTCTGTAGTCTGCAGCAGCCGAGCCACCAGCGCCAACCTTCCTCGCCACGGCCTCCAGCACTGCAATCACATCCGATAGAGTCACAGCCGCACCGAACCTAATCCCCATAACACGCTCCTTCCCTGCTGCTTCACCCTCTCCACCCTCTCCACCCCCTCCCCTCTCACCCCCCTCTCCGTCCTCCCCAGCAGGCCCCTCCTCCCACGCCACGTGCTGCAACTCCGGCAGTCCCTTGACGTCCACGAGAGTGACATGCGCCATGGAGTCACAGCGTGCCAGGTCAGGATACACACCTGCTGCCGTGCTGCCCGCCACCAGCTGCACCTCGCCCCACTCACTCTCACACTCGCCCCGAGGGATAGCGCCTGATCCTCCTGCTCTTTGCTCCTCCTTGCTGCTGCTCCCGCCTGCTCCTCCCTCCTCGCCTGTTCCCATCCCCTCATCACTGCTCCCTCCGTGCCTTGACTTCAGCAGCACCATTCTCAGCTCCTCTAGACTCCTGGGCGCCACCCACATCACCTTCCTGCTCCCTCTCCTCCACCCCTTCCCCGGCTGCCCCCCTGCCTCCTCCGCACTAGCTCCTGCACTGCTGCCCCCGTCACCATCACTACCGTCACCTGCCACGTCCACTTCTCCCTCCAACCCCCACTCTCCCCACAACCCACCTTCTCCCCCCACCCCTGCTTCCTCCCAGTGCTCCCACACCAGCATCTCCCCTCCCTCGCCGTTCACCCCCCTCCCTGCGCGCTCCTGCCACCGGCTGGCCTGCTGCTTTGATTCCAGCTTGAGCCATGCGGGGAAGGGCGGGTCGCAGAGGGGGTTGTAGAGGGGCAGGGGCTTGCCACGCGCACTGCACACCCCGCTGCCCTCAGCGCTGCACTTGGTGCCCCGCTGCGCCACTGCACGTCCCTGTGCTGGCGCCTCAGCTGATGCAGCAGCGGCGAACTCGCTGAGCCCCACCACCCTGCACGCCCGCGCCCCTGCCGCAGCATGCCCAGCAGCGCACGACCCCAGCTCCTCCAGATCCATCAGCCCCGCTGCTCCACCCACTGTATCTGCACCTGCGCTGCTAGCGGGACCAGCAAAGCTCTTGCAGGCGTCAAGGATGGGGCGGTACCCCGTGCAGCGACACAGGTTGCCCGCCATCGCCTGCTCCGCCTCCTCCTCTGACAGCCCCTCCACCACCTCCACTCCACCACCCGCTGCCACAGGAGCAGCAGATACAGCCTCAATAAACCCCCCTTTTCGATCAACCTCAGCAGCAGCAGGGGAGCGGTGGCGGCGGAGGGCGGCATAGAGCGCGATGGCGACACCGGGCGTGCAGAAGCCACACTGCGATGCGTGGAACCCCGCCAGCCGCTGCTGCACCGCGTGGGGCACCACTGCCCGCCCGTGCTGGTAACAGCTGTGCGGGTCCCGCTGCTGCGGCTGCTGTGAAGCCACGTGGAGAGATGTGCCGTCACTTGGCCCACCCATGGCCGCGCGCTGTGATGAACCCTGGGATGTGCCCACACCGTCGCCGCTTCCCGGGGGGACCTCCTCCGCATGCGTTGGCGTCGGAGAGAGGCAGAGGCCCTCGGCAGTGGTGATGGCGGCGAGGTGCAGCGAGGCGAGCGGCAGCAGGCAGGCATTGAGAGAGCACTCGTCGGTGGTGTGGGTGAGCGGGTTGTAGCGCGCCACCATCACTGCACATGCCCCGCACCCCCCTGATGATAGGGGCGGGGATGGGTAGGTGGAAGCAGGAAAAAGGATGGGTGGCAGCAGGCAGGCATTGAGCGAGCGGTCGTGGATGGTGTGGGTGAGAGGGTCGTAGCGCGCCACCATCACCGCACATGCTCCGCAGCCACCTGAGCATGTCTTGTCAGGGGTGGGGAGGGGTGGGTGGAAGCAGGGAAAAGGCGAAAAATCGGATTGACAGCACGTGCGCATGAGAGAAGCCATGGGCGAGCAGAGGGACAGGCGCAGCACGTGTGTGTGCGCTGTTGGGTGTCCTCAACGTGCGCGCTGCTGCGTGGGCGGGCAAGGGGGCAAGGCACACACGATGCACGACCGCGACAGCAGCCCAGGGGCGCGCACCTTCCCCGCAGCCCAGCTTGGTGCCGGTGAACGTTGTCCTGGAGCGGAGGAACTCGCTGAGCGACATGCGCGGATCCACATCGCACACCGCCACGCGCCGTCCGTTCACCGCCATCACCAGCGCCGCCGCGCGGCGGCCAGCAGCGGCCGATCTCCCACTTCCGCCATTATCCGCTGCGGTTGCACCGCGCGCCATGGCGGGGAACGGACGACGGTGCCGTGCAGGGCGGCGATACTAGCATACAGTGCGCGCGTGCTGCGCGGACTGCCGCCTGTGGACGTTCACGCTGGGTTTCCGCAGGTGGCGTACGGCTGTGGTGGCGCCCGCTCTCCCGATAGAGCGAAGGCGAGGGAGGCGAGGGGAGGTGCGGTGCAGCGCGAGCCAAGGCAGGCGCGCAGGGAGAACGGTGCTGACTGGGCGAGTATCCTGGTGTCAGATGAAGAGATTTAGAGCGGCAGAGCGTGTGAGAAGGATGGCAGTGCACGCCGTGGAGCAGCTGGATTGACCGCAGAGGCGCAGCTTCCGCCCGTCTGGGCGGGCAGGCGGATGGCGCGCTCGGCGGCTCGTAGACGTCGCGCGGAGAGCAGTGCGGGCAGAGGGCACGGCGAGGTAGCGCGAGGCGGTGACGAGGAAGGGGTGGGTTGAAGCGTTGAAGGGGTGAGTGGCTGCCAAATGGCGTCTGGACGAGACGGACTTGCGGGACCGCGCGCACGGCGCGGCGCTGCGCTGCCCTGAGCTGCGCCTGCTGGCGCATGGCCCGGGAATGCGCCTCGAAGCGGCCGCGCGGGAATGCGCGAACGGCGAGGCGAGGACGCTTCGAAGCGGCGGCCGCTCGGGCCCGCTGGGACGGTAGCTGCCATCGTCCGTGGCGCCGCTGCTGGCAAGCACAACAGGCGCGATTCCGACGCGCGCATGGCGTGCGAGCGGTGCAGGTACAGCCTCGTAGAGAATTCTGGGGGAGAGTGAATTGCAGCCGAGGAACGGTCCTAGCCTGTCTGTCATGAATCACTCGAGGCTGTCGTAGTCCCTCGCCTCGCCGCGCCACCACTCGCGCACTCCGCGAGCTACACCCCGACCATACGCGATAGATACAACCTTGACCACTGGTATTTGAGAACCCCGTGTATAACTGTTATGAATGAACTTGCAGAGTGCGCAGTAAAACGAATAACGAGAATGGATTCATTACTGATAGGACAAAGTGACGAGGCCTAAATAGGGGAAGTCCTAGCTAGGCGAAGAGGCAGGGCGAAGATGGCTCGGTGATGGTTGCGATTGGAGCGGAGGAAGACCCGGGGAGTGGTTCGGCCGACGAAATAGGCCGAACAGGTTCGTCGCGTGACCCTCGGGATGACCTCGCTAACGAGTGCCTCAGTAAGGATTTGTAAATCCTTACAATAACCTTTAGCACAAAGAAGCATCACATATATTTCATATATATTAGGTAGCTTGTCGTATTATTCACACAAATTTACAGTATAGATATTCGTCAGCACACCAGCTCACGGCAAGACAGATTAAATCGTGTGGGCACTAGTGGGAAGCCATAGCGGCTGGTGAGAGAGCATCGAGCTTCATGTCCCACACCCATCCACTCTCAAACCGCGGGCTTGCAGCTAGCAGCGCCCCTGACCCCACTCCTGATCTCGACCCAGGCGCATGGCCATGCGATTGCACATGCCCCCTTCCATCCTCGTGCCCATGTCCGAAGCCATGGTTTCCCTCCATGTTCCCCTCCTTTGAGGGATTTGCGCCTGTTGGATTGCCGTGGGCTGGTGGTGGCGTTGCGCCGAGCAGGGAGGCGAAGTGGGGGGAGGTGAGGGGAGGGGGGTGGGAGAAGGGCGGGGTGAAGGAGGGGGTGAAGGCGGAGGTGAGGGAGGGCGTGAGGAGGGGTGCTTGAGTGGGGGTGAACAAGGATGAGCCGTGGAAGTGATACAGCAGGGGGCTCTGCTGCTGCGGCTGCTGCTGTCCGTTCTTTTCCCCGTGCTGCTGCTCGGACATTCCCTTGTGCAGTGCCGGGTCGCCTGCCCTGTCTGCTCCTCCTTCCTCACTCATGCCATGCACCCCTGCCTCCTCTTCCTCCCCTTGCTGCTGCTGCTCATTCTCCCGCACCACGCCACCTGCAGCCTCCTGCATGCTCACGCTCCTCCCCTCCACCTGCAGGCCTGCATTCCCCGCCACACGAGTCACACGCATGAACGGGCGGTGGATCTCAACGGTCATGGGTCGCTGGCTGCGGCACCCCCTCCTCTGCCTCGCCTTGCTGTGCCCGCTACTGCTGCCTCCCTTGCTCACCCGCACCCCCTGCTCTCTGCACTCCTCCCCGGCACTAGCAGCTTCCTCGTTGCTTCCTTTTTCTTCTTCCACCGGGTGCGCCCAACAGCCCTGCTCTCGCGCCCTGCACTCACCACCCTGCATGACCCTCACTCGCTTGTGCGCACTGCCATCCGCAGTCAACCCATCGTCCACCACCCACTGCTGCTGCGCCGCCCTCCGTGCTGTCTGCTCCACTGCCATGCTCTCCTCACTCCTTGGCTGCCGCAATCCCCCCCCACCACTGGCCCCCGCACCACTGCCCCCCTCACATGTCCCTACCTCCATTCGCCGAGCCTGTGTGCTGCACTCCCCACCCCTCCCAGCCACACCACCGTCCTGATTCACCTCACACCCCCCTCCCTGTGCTCCATTCTGCCCGCCATCCCCCATTTCCCTCTCAAGGTCATGCGAGTCCCCTACAGCCTCCACACCCTCCGCCTCCCCTTCCTCCACCTCCTCCTCTCGCTCCTCCCCTTCTTCTCCCCCTTCCTCCCCCTCCTCCCCCTCCTCCCCACCCTCCTCGCCCTCCTCGCCCTCCACCGCCTGACCCGTCTGCAGGCGATTCATGCCATCCACCAGCTCTCGCTCGCATGCCTCTTCACTGCCACCGCCACCACTGTTGCCGCCCCCACTGCCACCCGCATCACTGCCATCACTCCCCACATCACCACCCCCACCCCCACTGTCCCCCAAAGCAACCATCTCTCCATCCGCATCTCCCTTCCCCACCTCCCCGCTAGCCCCTCCCCCCTCCATTCCCCCACTCTCCCCTCTCTCCCTCATCTCGCCCAACACAAGTGGGCTGGTGACGTCAGCGCAGGGCATGATGGCGTCAGCAGCAGGAAGCGGGAACAGCGGCGTGGTGACGTCAGCAGTGACCTGGCGCAGGGCGGGCGGCATGCACTCCCGGAGGGCGGCACACATGCCACGTGGGCTGTCCAGGATGGCCTGCCACACGCGCCTCGCTTCCTGCAGCTGCTGCAGCCGCCGGTGCGACAGAGGCGGCTCCGAGGCTTGTGCTGCTGCTGCGACTGCTGCTGGAGGAGCAGGGGCGGGATGATGGGTGCTGGCGGGGGCCGTGGTGTGGGAGGGGTTGAGAGCGGGCGGTTGATGGGACGAGGAGGGGTTGGTTGGCAGCAACAGCGGCGGTTGCTGGGCTGCTGCTTCTGCTGATTCTGCTGCTGCTGCTGCTGCTGCTGCTGCTGCTGGTTCTTTGGGCACATGCAAAAAAGGTGCAGTGGCAGTGGCAGCTTCAGCGGCTGTATCAGCATCGGCAACAGTGGTTGTTGCAGCAGCAGGGGCAAAGGAAGGGACAGTTGCGGCAGCAGCAGGGACGGCAGGAAGTGAAGGAGCGGCAGAAAAAGGGGCAGCAGCAGCAAGAGGGAGGGGAAGGATGGCAGCAGAGGCGCCTCTCAGTGCTCGCCTCCGCATCACCATCCCCATGCCCTGCCCCCTCCTCACTGCCCCTACCACCCCACTGGGCTCCACCCTGTCCGCACCAGCTGTTGCCCTACCCACAGCATCCACGCACGCCAAGCGACCCATGCCACCCAGCCCCTTCATCCCTCCCACACTCCCCACATGCCGCATGCCACCCAGCCTTGACACGTCCCCCAGGGGCCGCTTACCGCCCACCCTGCCCATGGTATCCACCCCATCTGCACCCACTGCACCAGCAGCACCAGCGGCGCTACCCACGGGGCATGATGCGGCTGGCAGCCCACCCAGCGGCCTCTTCCTGCCCACACGCCCCCTGGCGTCCATGCCGTCAGCAGCACCCACACTCCCCATGCCCGGGAACACAGCAGGCGGCAGGCAGCGCGGCGTGGGGGAGAGGGGTGAGAGGGGCAAGAGGGGCGAGCGAGCAGGCGACCACAGCAGGTGCGGACGGGTTGGAAAGAACGCCCATGGCGCTGCTGGCGCTGGTGGTGGTGGTGCCACTGCTGCGAATGATGTGGTTGCGCCTCCAGCAGCAGCAATCACAGGATGCATTAGCCCCGCTGCCTCCACTCTTGCTGCTTCCCCTTTCTCTTCTGCAGCCTCCGCTGCAGCCTCCTCCACCGCCGCCGTTGCTGCTGCTGCAGTGTGTGGCAGCAGTGGCACGGGCGAGCACAGCCCCCCAAACAGAGACCCCCCAGACAGAGACCCCCCAGACAGAGACCCCTCCACCACTCCGTCCTGCAACCCCTTCTCCAACTCCCTCTCACAAGTCGCACCCCTCCCCTGCCCCCCTCCTCCCATATCCGCAAGTCCTTGGCCACTCACGGCCTTGGCCTTGCCATGCCCATCCATCTCCGTGCCAGCCTCATCCTTTACCTGAGTCCCCATGCCCCCTCCCACCCTACCTGCGTCACCCACAGCCACGGCCACTGGCAGGTGGCGGTGCAGGGGAGACACAGTGTCGCGCTCCCTGTCCCCACTGCACGCCCACACACCCGCCGCCAAGCACTCCCCTGCCAACCCTTGCGCTGCCTGCTGCCCGCCCTGCTGCCCGCTCTCCTCTCCTCCACGCTCTTTCTCACCACCTGCATCACCATCATCTGCTGCCACACACTCCCACTCACGCCCCCGCTCCTCATTCTCCTGCTTCTCCTTCACCTGCTCGCCCTCCTCCTCCTCCTCTATGCTCGCGCAGAAGAGCGGGCGCCGGGCAGACACAGGCGTGCTCTTGCGCAGGGGTGTGTGCGAGGCGAGGGAGGAGCGCTTGGAGATGGGCGTGTGGTCGCCCATGCAGGGCGCAGCAGCGGGCGAGGCAGCAGTGGAGGGCGAGCACAGCGTGCCTGACAGGCTCTCCTCCCCATCCACCTCGCCCCCATGCTGCTGCTGCCCGTGCTGCTGTGTGCCCAACTCCTGCTCCTGCCCACGGCGCGGCTGCTGCTGCCCCCTCTCCTCACAGGCAGATGCCGCCGCAGCAGCGGCACCACCAGCGGTACCCGCACTAGCAGCCGCCCCCACAGACGAGGCATGAGGAGCAGTGGCAGCGGGCAGTGCACCTGCGCTCTGTGCGCCCGTGCCTTCATCAGCCAACGCCACGAGTATCTCCGCATCAAAGCCCGCTCCCACCGCGTCCAGATTCACTGAACCGCACGGGGAGGAGCTCTGCGGCGTGTCCAGATACGGTGGAAGCCACAAGCGTTGAAGCTCACCACCCTCCCTCGCCCCCGCCTCCCTCGCCTCCTCTCCCTCCATCCCCTCTTCCCACTCGCCTTCCTCCCCCTTCTCCTCAACTCTCCCTTCTTCCACCTCCACCCCTCCAGCTCCCTCCCACTCCATGCCGCCCCCTCTGCTCCGCCCCTCCCCCGTGCCCCCGTGCAGCACCAGCGTGCGTGCACCGTACTCACAGCAGTCAGTGCCGCGGTCTTGAGCCGATTGCACAACGTTATCTCCCTCGTTACACTCCCAAGCGTCACAAGGGCAAGGCTGGGTTCCATCCGCGTTATAAGCCAGGTTGCTACCCTTCCGGAGAGCCACGTCCCGCACACCATGTGCACTGCTGCCACACAGGGGAGACACAGCAACGCACCGCTGCTGTTGCTGCTGCTGCTGTTGCTGTTGCTGCTGCTGCTGCTGCTGCTGCTGCTGCTGCTGCTGCTGCTGCTGCTGCTGCTGCTGCTGCTGCTGCTGCTGCTGCTGCTGCTGCTGCTGCTGCTGCTGCTGCTGCTGCTGCTGCTGCTGCTGCTGCTGCTGCTGCTGCTGCTGCTGCTGCTGCTGCTGCTGCTGCTGCTGCTGCTGCTGCTGCTGCTGCTGCTGCTGCTGCTGCTGCTGCTGCTGCTGCTGCTGCTGCTGCTGCTGCTGCTGCTGCTGCTGCTGTTGCTGCTGCTGCTGCTGCTGCTGCTGCTGCTGCTGTTGCTGCTGTTGCAGCTGCTGTGGTTGCGGCTGCAGGGGTTCATGCAGTGGCGGCAGCAGCAAGGGCGGCGCAACCCCTTGTGGCAGCACGGCAGGGCCCAACAGGGCTTTAGCCTCAACGCACCCCGCCACACCGCCAGGCGCCTGAGAGCAGGCGAGCGCATGGGAGGGCGTGTGCAGCAGCGCAGCGTGTGTGTGGCCGTCAGGCAGCATGAGGAGCGGGCGGGTGGGTCCCCCAGGCCTGACCGTCCCGTGCCCCGCACTGCCGCCTGCCTGTGCGGCAGGTACCGGTGGGTTGCCCGCACACAGCCCCCGGCCCTTGCTGCTTCCCACTGCGTTGCTCCAAGGAGTGGCACTCCCAGGTGCGGCCCCGGGCAGAGGAACAGGTAGAGGCATGGGGCGGGGCATGAGGGCTGCTGGTAGCGACACAGCAGATGGTGTTAGCGTGCTCACGGGAGCAGCGGTGGTGAGGGCGGTGTGCGCAGGCATAGTGGGGAAGCGCGGAGGGGTGGTGGCGGGCAGGACGGTGAGGGGAGTGGCGGGGGAGAAGGAGAGTGCTCTGCGCATGGTCGCCCCTCCCATGGGGTGCTGTGTGCACGCGGGTGTTGTCATGGCTGGGTATGGCGGCAGGCGCGGAAGGGGCAGGCGCATGGGGGAAGCACCCAGCACCTGCTGTGAGCTGTCTCGTGCAAACCCATTCACTCCGTTGATGTGGTCAGGCAACCCGCCAGCAGCAGCACCAGGAACCACACCGCCTGCAGAGGCCGGCCTGCATGCTTCTCCCTCAGCTCCCCTCACCTCTGCCCCAGTTGAGCCCGCCCCGGGTCTGCCAGGTCCCCCGCCCCCCCCCTGCTCCTCCTCCTCCATGCACCTGAGCGCGCTGAGCTGGTCCAGCAGCGGCGACCCCGCCACGCCTGCCACGTGGCAGTCTGAGGACTGGTGCGGGCCCCGCACTGCTGCAGGGACAGGTGTGAGGCGAGGCATGGGCGGTACGGCTGCCACAAGGGGTGCGGCAACAGCAGCAGCAGGGTGTGCGCGGGTAAGTCCAGGAGGTGTGGGGGCGAGCGAGCGAGGCACGGTGAGCAGCGAGGAGGAGGAGGCGGATGCTCTGAGGTGGGGGAAGGAGGCGAGGGGCGTGGGAGCTGCGAGGGCAAGAGCAGGCAGCGAGGGTGAGTGGAACAGCGGCGGGGAGGGCTGGAGGGGCGAGGGGTGCAGCGGCGATGTGTGCATGGTGTTGATACTGCTGCTGCCGCTCGTGGCATACGCAGCCCCATGGGAGACGGCTCTGGGGAACACCCGCGCGCCCACACTCGCCTCCGCTGCTGCTGCTGCTGCTGCTGCCGCTGGCAGCGTGGACGACCGGGCGAGGAACACAGGCGATGCTGATGCTGCTGCTGCTGATCCTGACGCCGACGCCGCTGCCACTGCTACTGCTGCGGGTGTGGTCATGGATTGACCAGCACGCAACAGCCCCTGCTCTTCCTTCTCACCCTGCTGCGCTGCCTGCCCTGTCTCCCCTTCCCCCCTTCCCTCCCCCTCCCCCTCCCCCGCCTCGCCATCCGCCTCACCCGCGCCACCCCCACTCACTCCTCCCCCTCCACTCCCCCCATCCCGTGCAGCGGCAGCAGCGGCCTTGACGCGGCGCTGCATGCGCTTGCGGTACGAGTTCCAGAAGTTCTTGATCGCGTTGTCCGACCGCCCCGGCATGTGCTGCGCCATGAGCGCCCACTTGTTGCCGTACCGCCGCTGCAGCTCGATCACCTGTCGCTGCTCCGCCTCGCTCAGCGGGCCGGGGCGGATGGCGGGGCTCAGGTGCTTCACCCACCGCAGCCGGCAGCTCTTGCCCGACCGCGCCAGCCCCGAGCGCTGCGCGATGGTGGTCCAGTTGCCCTCGCGGAACCGCTGCACGCACTCCATCAGCACCGCATCCTCCTCGGCTGTCCATAGCCCCTGGGGGGGGGGGGGGAGAAGGGGTGGGAGGGGGGAAGGGGATGGGCGAGGGGAGGGGGTATGGGCGTAAGCGGGAGGAGAATTCAGGGGAAGAGCTCAAGGCCTGAGCGCGAGGGGGTGGCAGTGGAGTGGCGCTGCCAGCAGTAGCGCACAGGCGGTGAATTTGAGCCACGCCAGGCGGTGAATTTGAGCCACGCCAGGCGGTGGTAACTAAGACCAGCGCACCTTCTTCAGCTCGTTATCGCCCGGCGCACCGCTGTCGCCGTCGCCCTCACCCTCGCCGTCACCACACCCGCTGTTGCTGTTACTATTGCTGCTGTCCTCCTCTGCCGCGGCGGCCCTGTCGCACGCGTCATCGACCCTCGTGGCGTCGCCTCCCATTAGGCTACCCAATCAAACGCGCTGGGCTGTGATTGGTCTACACAACGCGCGGATTGTAAATCCCCTCAGGAAATCGCGGGGCTAGCTAACCAGAGTGCCGCTTTGTGGGGATGCGACTACGTTACTAGGCGCATTCAAGTCTAATCAAACAAAGATCCAAGGATCTAAATCCACGAGCCATCGGCGAGAGGAGAGACTGGCGGCCAGAGAGGGCCAGTCGGTCAGCTGGATTCTTCCATTCCTCGACCTTGATGTCTCGATGCCTTGATGCCTGCACTGCTTCAGTATTCGCCGCAGAGACGCTCAAAGGGTGAATCGTAGCACATGCGAGCACTCACTCGCACAGGTCGCTGCCTGCTACCCGTACGTCTGCGGGTTATGATCTTTCAATATACGTCGCGGTCCCAAGCGCAGGGCACGGAATATCTCGCCAGCACTCGTGCTAGCAGCGCGAGAGAGCATCAACTATAACGATCGCTGCGTGCCAGGGCATGGCCGGGACTCTCGAGGGTCATCGGCGGTCGCTCCGCCGGGTCAACGCCACGCGGAATTATACTGAAACGCTCGCGGCCCGCTGCCCCCTCGTGGCGCCTCAGATTCCGCGGACCTAGGAGCCTCTTGAGTCGACTCTTGAGCGGTGCAGTCGACTCAAGAGTCGCCTCGTGGTCCGCGGACCTTGGAGCCAACCGGAGGGTGCCCCGCTCCGCGCATCCCCATCCCCCCCACGCAATACCCGCCTGTGCGTCCCGCCCGCGCCCTCGTTTTGCGAGAAGAGCGCGGGCGAGCGCGGATGGTGTGGTCCCTCGGCGGCATGTGGATCGTCTTTCTGTCGCGCGAGGCCCACCAGGCGCGGCGCGCAGGGGGATTCGAGGCAGGGTTTGGCGGAGCGGGGAGCAGTGCATGGCGCATGGCGCATGGCGCGTGCATCGGTCCTCACGGCGGAAGACATGCATCAAAGAGGATGGGGGGACCGATGCACGCGCCATGCGAGGAAAGATCTACCCTGGGGGGGATGGCAGCGACAACACTGTTTCTGATTGTGCGGAAATATCTGCTGACCGAGTCGCACGAGGAAAGAGAGGTGCAGCGGATACTTGGAATAACTGTCGGGCGGACGGGAAGCAACCGTACGAAGAAAACTCGACGCTGTCGTCTGAGGCTCGGAGCACATGGGCTCGAGGGGAGGTCGGCGGGTGGAATGAGCATGTCGCGGCCTGAGACAGATGAATGCAACGCGACGCGAGTCGGTGACCATGTTGATGCCTTGCGGTTGAGGATGCGAAAACTGACGCGACGACGCTTCCTATTTCACTCTTATGGCGTAGTGCGTCGACTGTCGAGTGTGGATGGCAGGAACGGTCGGGTCAAAGAGAGCCGAGGAGCTCAACCGCCGAGATGCAGCTGGCAGCGATAACGACGGCGGCACGGATCCACCAACTGGAAGGATCAAATCAAGGATCAGTCACACATCTCACGAAGGTAGCCCAGCTGCCCCAGCCGATGCGCCATGCGGGAAAACTTCCCCAGACAGCAATGCTCCCATATAGGCGACTGCACTGACGAATTCCTGGGGTTTGGAAACCTTGTAAAATTGGCTTCACGTTTTAGGGAGCGATTTTTTTGGGTTGCGTAGCAACCCTACATATAAATGTTTTTCCAGTGCACTTTTCCTGGTACACGCTTCAAGTAAATGCCCCAAAAGAAACCAAAAAACACTCTTGAATGACGTCGCTCAAAACGTAAACCGATTGCGAACGTTCCATGCTGAAGCTGTCAAACTCATATGCTATAGTCTGTGTAGGCTGTAGTGGGGTAGACAATATGGGGTACAACACTTTTAGGTTTTCCTACTTGTACCCACCTGCTTGCTAGGTCATTCATTCCTCATTTCTTCACATGGTATAGAGCAGGTTCCCTAGTGGGAACGCTTCCTTAGGCCCACCACTGAAAATCGCAAAAAAAAAAAAAATTTCTGACCGGAGCGCGAGTCGCCCCTGCCCGAGGCGCGCCCCGTGGGCCGCCCTCTCATCGCGTCCCCTGCCCTTAGCGGCCCGTCGCGCCCTTCTAGAGGCCCGTCTCACGGCCCCTCGCGCCACCCCTAGCGCCCCCGTCGCCGCCCCCGGCGGCCCCATCGCCGCCCTTAGCGGCCCCGTCGCCACCCCTAGCGGCCTCGTCGCCACCCTTCGCGGCCCCGTCGCCGCCCCTAGCGGCCCCGTCGCCGCCCTTCGCGGCCCTTTCGCCGCCCTTCGAGGCCCCTCGCGGCCCCTTCGCGGCCCCGTCGCCGCCCCTAGCGGCCCCGTCGCCGCCCTTCGCGGCCCCGTCGCCGCCCCTATCGGCCCCGTCCCCGCCCTTCGCGGCCCCGTCGTCGCCCCTAGCGGCCTCGTCGCCGCCCTTCGCGGCCCCGTCGCCGCCCCTCTCAGCCCCGTTGCCGCCCTTCGCGGCCCCGTCGCCGCCCTAGCGGCCCCGTCGCCGCCCTTCACGGCCCCGCGCGGCCTCTTCTCGGCCCCGTCGCCGCCCTTTGTGGCCCCGTCGCCACCCTTCCCGGCCCCTCCTCGGCTCCTCCGCCGCCAGCAGCAGCCGCCGCCGCCGCCAGCAGCAGCCGACAACAGCGGCGGCCACCACCAGCAGCAGCCTTCGCCGCCGACAGCAGCGACTGCCGCCGCCACTAACAGCAGGATCTGCCGCCGCGGTCGCGGCTCTGTCCCTGCCGACGCGCCTCGGCCCTGCCCCATCGCTTGCCAGCCCCTACCTACCAGCCCTGGTGAGAGCACTGCCGAGCCACGCCTACTACTGCTGCCCCTAGCCTGCTGCCACTGCTGTCATGGCTACCCCTAGAGTTCTAGTCTTTGATGCTGAGGGTCGGGCTGTTGACTTTGAGGTCTGGGTCGATGATCTACAGCTTTTCCTACAATGCGATAGGAAGGACGGTCTCTCCCTGTTCAATCTCACGTCTGGCGCCTCTACTGCCCCTGCAGCCGATGCTGACAGCACTGTTCGCTCACAGTGGGCCACACGCGATGCTGCGGCGCAAGCACTTTAGTCAGTACAAGAGTGCTAAGACCTTGTACGATGCTATAGTTGCACGCTACTCTTCCCCTGCCACTGCTGCCCTCAGCCGCCTCATGCTGCCGTACCTGTTTCCTGACCTCGCTGCCTTTCCTACTGTCGCTGACCTCGTTACGCACCTTCGCACTAGTGACACCCGCTACCGCGCTGCACTTCCTGCTGAGTTTTGCGCCAAGAACCCTCCCCCCATGTACATCACCCTCTACTACATAGTCACCCGGCTCCCTAACTCCCTTTGCTCGGTCAAGGACCACTTCCTCTCAGTTTGCCCCACCACACTCACCGTTGACCTCCTCGAGGAGCACCTCCTGGCAGCTGAGAAGAGTATAGTCGCTGTAGGAGCCTCTCGAGGTGACCCTCGTGCCCCCGTCTTTGAGGGGTGTTCCCCCTCCCCCCTTTTGCCCTCTGTTGTCTCTGATGCTGCCGTCGACTTCGTTGGCACCGAGTCGGTCGGCGCTGCGTCTGCCCCTAGCGAGCGACGCCGCACCGGCAAGGGCAAGGGGGGCAAGGGCGCTGGAGGGGCTTGCCGGGGCGGAGGAGGTGGCGGTGGAGGAGGCGGAGGGAGTGGGGGTGGTGGTGGGAGTGGTGGTGGGGGTGGGGGCTTCGGTGGCGGCGGTGGCGGCGGAGGCTGCGGCGGCGGTGGCGGTGGGAGCGGAGGAGGAGGCGGTGGCAGCGGTGGCGGAGGTGGCGGCGAAGGAGGTGGAGCTAGTCGGGGTGGCTCTGCGCAGCGGGGCGGCTTCGGTGATGGTCAGCGCCAGCAGGAGCAGCAACGCACTCGTGAGACCCCGCCCCCGCAGCAGCTTCGTGAGTGGTACGCTTCGCGTCAGCGGGGTGGGGGTACTGGTCCCTGTACCTACGTCCTGCGTACCAGCGACCGTACGGGTGAGCAGTGCGGGGGCCCGCACCCCACCCAGCGCTGCTTCGGCCGCCTGACGGACGCTTGGCGTCTCTAGTTTCCTGACGCCACTGAGATCCCTCGCTGGGGAGAGCTGCAGAGGTCGGGGGTTGCTATCTCTGATCTTGATTATGATGCTATTCTTTCTGCCATGTATGCTGTGTCTACTAGTGATGAGGGTGACTGTTACCTGTGTGTTCCGCCTGACCCGGGCATTGAGGCTGCTGCTCAAGGTGCTGGTGAGGCTGCTGCTCTAGGTGCTAGTGCGTCTGCTGCCCCAGGTGCTGGTGAGTCTGCTCTCTCAGGTACCATGTCGGCTCAGGCCTTACACACCTTCACCCTTGACTCGGGTGCTTCCCGCTCCTTGTTTCGAGACCGCACCACGCTTGGTGAGTGGTGCTGATCTACAGGATGGGGGGGTTGACCAGATCACTCCTGCGAGTCAGCGCGTGACCCACTGCACGTGTGCTCGGACGGGCCGACACTTGGCCACGTTCACCCGTCGGGCGGGATCGAGCCTGTACACACTGACTACTGAGTCTCCTCTGGTTGCTGAGTCTTGTCAGGTAGCTGCGTCAAGTCAGGTGTTTGTTGCAGCGTCCAGGTCCGGTCCTGAGTCTGCTCCCTGCTCGTGTCGTCTCCTGTCCCACCAGACTCTCCTCTGGCACCACCGCCTTAGTCACCCCTCCCTGCCTCGTCTCCGAGGCATGGCCTCCTGTGTCCTTGTCTCTAGTCTCCCCCGGTCCCTCCCTCCCCTCCCTCCGGGGCCTGCCCCTACCTGCATTCCCTGCGTCGAGGGGCGGCAGCGCACCGCCCCTCACTCCTCCCAGTTTCCTCCGACAGAGGCTCCGCTACACACTCTTCACATGGACGTGTGGGGCCCCGCCCGCGTCCGTGGCCAGGGTCGCGAGCGTTACTTCCTGTTGGTGGTTGACGACTACTCGCGTTACACCACGGTGTTTCCCTTGCGCAGCAAGGGTGACGTAACTGAGGTGTTGATCGACTGGATCCGCGCGGCTCGTCTCCAGCTCAGAGAGAG